TATGTGGGGTCCTTTTTGGGAAGGACCAGATTTTGGGTTTCCGTAACCAGAATAGTTGTACTACTTCTAAGAAACTGGATTTTGGGCATGTTACAGGCATTGAAGCAGATAGGGGAGTGGAGCTTGTGTTTTACTGGCGGCTAGAAAGCCTAGATCTCACTTGTGGTCCATCTTTAGCAAGTGTACTTCCCAGCTGCACTCCTTAAGTGCTTCATCATTTCCCTTGCCTACTCTCATTTTCCCTTCAATATGATTCCCTCATCTATTTTTGGTTGTGTTGATTTTCTTTTTTTGAAGATTTTATTTATTTATTTGTCAGAGAGACAGAGAGACAGGGAGCACAAGCAGTGGGAGCAGCAGGCATAGGGAGAAGCAGGCTTCTTGCTGAGCGGGGAGCCAGACACAGGGCTCCATCTCAGGACCCTGGGATGGGATTGTGACCTGAGCCAAAGGCAGACGCTTAACCAACTGAGCCACCCAGGTGTCCCAGTTGTATTGATTTTGAAGATAATTTATGCTCAACCATGTTCTGGCCATATTAAAAGGATTTAAAACAAAAAAGTTTATAATTTGAAAGTCACATCCTAAAAGACAGATTTTTAAAAAAAATCTTATTTATTTATTTGACAGACAGAGATCACAAGTAGGCAGAGGGACAGGAAGAGAGAGAGGCAGAGAGAGTGGAAGGGAAGCAGGCTCCCGGCCAAGCAGAGAGCCCGATGCGGAACTTGATCCCAGGACCCTGGGATCATGACCTGAGCCGAAGGCAGAGGCTTTAACCCACTGAGCCACCCAGGCGCCCCTAAAAGACAGATTTTTAATGTTATTAATCATATAAATTCTTGCTCCCATGTCTAAAGATCCTTTATCCTCTAACCAAATTTAGAATAAGGGGATACTAATAGAAAATTTTAAAAAATATATATTTTTAGGGGTGCCTGGGTGGCTGTCATTGGGCGTCTGCCTTCAGCTCAGGTTGTGATCCCAGGGTCCTGGGATCGAGCCCCACATCGGGCTCCCTGCTTGGTGGGAAGCCTGCTTCTCTCTCTCCCTCTGCTGTGTTCCTTCTCTCACTGTGTCTCTCTCTGTCAAATAAATAAATAATAAAGTCTTAATACATACACACACACACACACACACATATGTATATATGAACTTTTAGATATAAATAGGCTATAAAAATCCTATTTTCTGGAGTAATACTGGTGGAGCTATACTAGCACCAAAACCTTATAATGCAGGGGGAAGAACAAGGCCAGTTCTTGGAAATGGATTTTCAGCAGCAGTTAGAATTGTTATTTTCCTCAATTTTAATTTAGTTAAAAAAATTTTTTTTGATTAATGAAGGGAAGTAAAATATGCCATTGTTTACCATTAGCATTTCTGAAAGAAATATGATGTACAAAAATACCCTGATGAGAAATAATTAGTTGTTCTTGAGTGGTATTCAAATTCCTTTCCTCCCTAAGAGTATCGTCCTTCTGTTAAAGGATACTTTATATTTTATAAAGTATTTTTCAGTATCAGCCTGTTGATACAGATACTATATTTGCAGTTTGCCTCCTGGGTGGTAAAGTCCTCATCTAATTTCTTCTTGAGATTGCTGTATTGCATCTTAAAAGATGCCTTGTCTGTGAACAGAATGTTTATAGCAGAAATAACAACATTTACTATAAAATACGTTGTATGAATCAATGATGGCTAAGACTTTACATATATGTTAAGTAAGAGTGTCTTTTAATATACCCTAAGTTTATTCTAACTTAGTGTTCAATTCATAAATAAGGTTTTCTTCTTTAGCTAAGATTCCTAAGTTCAGTGGAATCTTCTCTGAAGTTCTTTCCCTTTAAAGGTCTGGAAAGTAGATTCTTTTACAAAATGATCTTTAAAGGCTTTTATATTTATGAAAATGAGTTTTGATTTTATATTTGGACATGCTTAAATCTTAACCGTAATAACCTATGATTTCTACCAGGAGGAATATGCTAAAATTAATTGCTAAAATAGGGCTAGTTGTAAACATAGGTGTGAGTAAGGTAAGACTGCCATCTTCCTTGCTCCAGGCAGAATGATTCCTAGAATTAGGATTTAGCTTTCATTGCTCACATCTCTGGAATTCACTTTTTCTAGTTTGCCAAAATATAGTAAGACAAGGTACACAGTTTTCTTTCTTTCTTTTTGCAACTCTTTTTAAGTGAAAGTACCGTTCACTTTCATTCTTATGCTCATTCATTTCTTGACACATGAAAATCAAGTTCAGTTTTGTAGTAGTGCCTGTTAGTCATGTGAACTTTCTACAACATCTCCATTTACACTGTTTCACACATCACTCACAGGCAAGTTTCCACAAAGACCTGTTTTGTTCCATTGTCTGATCCACCCTGAAGAAGCCAGTTTCCAAGCTATGTGCAGCTTTGTCAATCAAGATGAACTGGTCAGGAATTGGATACAGAAACAAACAAGAAACCAAATAATTCTTCCTAGTTGACAAGCAGAGTGTGTTATATATAATAAAATTGCAAGTAACAAAATGCTTTGCATTCTAAGAATATTCTATTAAAAAGTTCACATCACATTCATATTGTAACCATAGTTCAAGTTGTTAGCTTGTTTCCATTACTATTAGAGTTAGGAAAATATAAGTAATGTTTTTTTGTGAGATATTCTAGGCAAGAGAGGGCAGTGAGAACAAGTGATGAAATGTGAATTTTAGCTCTGGGTATTTCTTAGCAAGTCTTATGTGGGATAGCTATGTAGCAAGTTTAATGAGAAGAGGAGTTTGGTATTGGACACAGATTTCCTTCTTTCTGGCAACAGTTAGCAGTAAGCAAGGAATATAGTGTCATGGAGCATTTATTTTTCCAGGTACTCTCCATCTAGGTCAGGGAAAAAGGAATACCTATACACAATTGCTAAGTAACAGAATATGTTTTTCACCATAGAGGTAAAATCAACCATAATGTATTCACAGCTTAATTTGTGGCTTCTGAAAAGACCCTTGAAATATTTTCTCTTTGAGTAAATGTTTTGTCAAATTATTTTTTTTTAAGATTTTATTTATTTCTTTGACAGGCAGAGATCACAAGCAGGCAGAGAGGCAGGCAGAGAGAGAGGAGGAAGTAGGCTCCCTGCCGATTGGAGAGCCCAATGCGGGGCTCGATCTCAGGACCCTCGGATTGTGAACTGAGCCGAAGGCAGAGGCTTTAACCCACTGAGCCACCCAGGCGCCCCTTTGTCAAATTATTTTACCTTTTTGTTTAGAAATTTAAAGAATATCAAGCCCCGTTCCGAAGTTTTGGTGTTTTTTTTTTTTTTTAAGTGATCTTTAAAACATTGTGCTTTTAACTCAGCATCAGATAACCTCCCAAAGAATCTGTGTCTTTTGTGATCCTTTTCTTTCTCTTCTTGAGAAATTAAAAAAGGAAACAAAGGAAACAAAGAAAACTTAAAATGTTCCTTTACTCATTATTCCAACAATAGGCAAAGACCAGGCTTCCACAGCCAAATTAAGAGAATTCTCAGAGTACTTAGTGAACATAAATCACATGAATATGTTATAGAATGTAAAACTACTGGGGAAAACACATGACACGTTTAAATTTTTTTCATCCTCCTAATTTCCCAGCACATTTTGAGAAGAGACCATAATAAATATGGTGTGTTTTTTCCCCTATAAATCTCTTTTCCCACGACAGATATTTCCATGCACACATTTATTTTCTGGTTTGTTTTTTAAGATTTTATTTATTTATTTGACAGAAAGAGAGACAGTGAGAGAGGGAACACAAGCAGTGGTAGTGGGAGAGGGAGAAGCAGGCTCCCCACTGAGCAGTGAGCCTGATGTGGGGCTCAATCCCAGGACCCTAAAATCATGACCCGAGCCAAGGCAGACAGTTAACGACTGAGCCACCCAGGTGCCCCTATTTTCTGTTTTGAAGAAATCAGATTAGCAGGGTAACTTTTCCAAAACATTTTTCTTTACATGAGAAGATGAAAGTATTAAATTGAAGAATTAAATGCCTTTGTGCTTCCAGCTGCTTCTGCCTGACACTCCTTTCTCAGGTGTCATGGTCTCTGCTCTCTTCTATAGACTGACAGTTTAGGACTGTAATTTCTCAGTGTATTGTCTCATTTCTCATTGGTAAGATTTGAATTGTTGGAAACAGTAGTCTTTTATTTTTTTTAAAGATTTTATTTATTTATTTGACAGATAGAGATCACAAGTATGCAGAGAAGTAGGCAGAGAGAGAGGAGGAAACAGGGTCCCCGCTGAGCAGAGAGCCCAATTCGGGGCTCGATCCCAGGACCCTGGGATCATAACCTGAGCTGAAGGCAGAGGCTTTAACCCACTGAACCACCCAGGCACCCCTGGAAACAGTAGTCTTAAAATATGCATTAGGTTTTCTTCTTTATTATTACATTATTTTTGAGGTATAACCTACATATAGTAAAACGCACATGTCTTGATGGTACAAACTTGAGTTTTAACATTTGCACACATCAGAATCAATGGGGGGGCGGGGCTTCTAAAATGCTCCTGCCAAGAGGTTAAAACGTTTCCTGGATGATTCTGAGCTACACCTAGTTAAGAATCTTTGCCTTTGGGGGGTGCCTGGGTGTCAAAGTCTTTGGGCATCTTCCTTTGGCTCAGGTCTTGATCCCAGAGTCCTGGGATAGAGCGCCACATCAAGCTCCCTGCCCAGTGGGAAGCCTGCCTCTCCCTCTCCCACTCCCCCTGCTTGTAATCCCTCTTTCACTGTCTTTCTCTCTCTGTGTGTCATATAAATAAACAAAATCTTAAAAAAAAAAATCTTTGCCTTTGTAAAGAATCAACTTGAGTAATACACATAAAATTACACAGTGTATCATAAAATGTTAAGCAGATTAAATTTAGGTTACTATTTAAAAAATACTTAAATTTCTCATGTGCCTTATTTACAGGGTTTATAATGCTGACTCACCAATGAAATTCTTACTTTGTTTTTCTGTTTGGTTTTAAGAAAATTAATGCAAAGCTTCATGATGGAGTTTGTCAGCGCTGTAAAGAAGTACTTGAATGGCGTGTAAAATACAGCAAATATAAACCCTTGTCGAAGCCTAAAAAATGGTGAGTTATGTTTCTTAATTATCTTACCAACAATATATGTATCAGCTTATTATTTCTTTCCCCGATACTCAAAATTATATCCAACTAAATACTAAGGTAGGTGGAAAAAAAACTCCCATTCTCCCATGGAGAATTTCATCTTACATGCTGATTCCTTCTTTATAAAATGGATTCACCTTTTCCCACCCTATTCTTTTTTTGTAAGATTTTATTTATTTGTTAGAGAGAGAGAAAGGGTGCTGGGGAGAGAGAGAGAGAGAGCAAGCGCTTGTGCATGTGTGCGTGCACACACATGCACACACACACACACACAGATACAAGCAGGGGGAGGGGCAACAGGAGAGGGAGAAGCAGACTCCCTGCTGAGTGGAAAGCCTGACCCTAACCTAAGATCATGACCTGAGCTGAAGGCAACTTCCTGAGTAAACCATCAGGTGCCCCCTTTTCAGTCTTTCTTTTCATGTTCTTTAGCATTTCCTCCCAAAAGAAGATACTTTTAAACAATTCTGATGAGTTTTATTCTCAGTGGCCCAAATTAGCAGTAGGGAAGTTTAACAAGTGTTGGTGCTATCCAAGGCTAGATTTTCATGAACAAATTAATTGTGTTTTCTACTGTCTTTCCTGTAGCTGGTTGTGCCATAAGCCATGTAGTTTTAGTTTATAGGCCTATTATATTATTTGTAGCTTTCTAGAGGCACCTGGCTGACTCAGTTGGTGGAGCATGTGACTCTTGATCTTGAGGGTGTGAGTTCGAGCCCTGTGTTGGCTGTAGAGACTTCTTAAAAAATAAAAATCTCTTAAAAACAAAAAAGGGATTGGGGTGCCTGGTGGCTCAGCTGTTAGGGATCTGCCTTTGGCTCAGGTCATGATCCCAGGGTACTGGGACTGGGCACCATATAGGGCTCTCTGGTCAGTGGGAAGCCTACTTCTCCCTCTCCCACGCCCTGTGCTTGTGTTCCCTCTCTCACCATCTCTCTCTATCAAGTAAATAAATAAAACCTTTAAAAAAAAAAAGAAAAAAGAAAAAAGATTTCTTTCTAAATGTTGCTATAACTTTGGGTGCCTGGCTGGGTCAGTCAGAAGAGCACATGACTCTTGATCTTGGGGTCATGAGTTTAAGCCCCATGTTGGATGTAGGAATTACTCAAAATAAATATATTTAAAAGTTTTTAAAAACTCTTAAAAAAAAAAAAAAAGAATGGTTGAATGTGGACACCTCAACTCAAGGGTCAGCAACTCTGTCCTATCTTGGAGTCATTGAAGTCTTTGGAATCAGGAAAGGTCATGATAATGTTACCACTACCTAGGTAATGTGGTGACCCAGAGCTCTTTGAGAAACTTCATGTAGGTCAAGGAGATGAAGGCTGAGAGGACCTCAGGAGCTGCTGTTCCACATCACCCTAAGGCCGATGAGGTTAGCTCACGGTGAGTGCAAAATGAAGGATATGTAATATTGTATAAATTCCCAATTACAGATAACAAGACATTCAAGCAAAGGAAGATATCATAAAGAATAATAAATGTAATACTTATATTACATTTATATTACATTACATTATATTACAATAATAAATGTAATAAAGAAGTCCAACCTAATGTAGAACAAATGATTATTCATGGGAGACTAAGAAATTGTCAGTTAAACCAAGGTCTGAACATGTTCCTGAGGATGTCACCTGCCTGGCCTAGAAAATCAGGAATTTCAAATTACACTGAACACATGGCACATGAGGCATTTTGGAAAGCCTAGCTTTCAAACTCCAATCCAGGATTGAGAGTGTCCTAGAAAGCACGACTTAACTATATTCATGTTGCACTCTCTGCATATTAACACTTTACCAGCATTATAAGGGATTTAAGTGCATTGATGAAAGATTCTGGTGGTAACATAACTTACTTAGAAATTTTGAATGTTTTACTCCGGCTAATCTTGCTTAGAAGTTAAATTTGTCCTTTGTCAGGATTTATATGAGAAGTTTTCTTTGACATTGGATGTGTCTTTTGTGAAAAGATAATTTTCCAGCACCCCAAATATTGTCACTGATGAAAATGTTGAGTATTTTACTTGTCTAGCTATCTTTTGCCACAGATTATGTAGCCAAATGATGTACATAAGGAAAAGTTCAGCAGAACATAAAATGTAAGAGGAGGAGGGACTATTTATAGGTGACATTTCTTTTGTAATGAAGTAATATTCTGAATATTGGGAAAATTGAAGCTCTTTTATCTTACTCATTGGGCTTATAAATCACCAAAAATCATGGATGATTAGCAAATTTCCATTGCCCCTGCGATCTAATCCCAAATATTAGGCCCAAGAAAGAATTAGACATCTAAACTCTTCCATGTTACCTGGTTTGACCACAGAAGCGAGAACTGTGTTGTGTTTGTACTTGGCAGAGGAGGCCTCATGTTTCCTTTCCAGAGACGTGACATTCTACAGGATTTTTATGATCATGTTCTTTATGACACTTTGTCCCAGTTGCTGAAAACAACCCTGGACCATTCCAGAGATTTTTGGAAAAGATGTCCTAACTGGAGCTGTAAGAGCCGAAAACGTGTATTTGCTGGGGCGGGGGGTGGGTGGGTGGGATGATTGTCAGTCGTGAGAGGGAGGAGGATAAAAAGATCATCCATTAGTGCTACGTAAACAGTGTCATCCTGGTACTACCCTTGGTTATAAGGTAGGGTTTTTTGTTTTTGTTTTTGTTTTTTTAAGATTTTATTTGTTTGAGAGAGAAACAAGTCAGGGGAGTGGAAGAGGGAGAAGCAGGCTCCCTGCTGAGCTGGGAGCCCAATGTGGGGCTCCATCCCAGGACCCTGGGATCATGACCTGAGCCGAAGGCAGATGCTTAATGACTGAGCCACCCAGGTGCCCAAAGGTAGTTTTAAATATCATCGAATACTCAGATCTTCAAGTCTTTATGGAAGTGAAGTGAAAGGCTTATAAAGATAATGCTCAGCTTTTCACAGCTTCTCTTCTCTGTAAGAGCTGAGATAAGCCACCACCTTGTTTCATGCCTGGCTGGTTTTTTTGTTTGTTTGTTTGTTTTATATTTCTTTTTTTTTTTTAAAGCGCAACTTTTTTTTTTTTTTAAGATTTTATTTATTTATTTGACAGACAGAGATCACAAGGAGGCAGAGAGGCAGGCAGAGAGAGAGGGGGAAGCAGGCTCCCCGCCGAGCAGAGAGCCCGAAGCGGGGCTCGATCCCAGCACCCTGAGATCATGACCTGAACCGAAGGCAGAGGCTTTAACCCACTGAACCATCTAGGCACCCCCATGCCTGGCTGTTTAGTCAGAGGTCAGGTTACTCTGTAGCAGGATTCCGACTCATTTTGGCTTCTGTGTTTTGATTTTAAGGTGAGTCCTTGCTAATCCCTGGTTGGAGGGCTTCTTAGGTGCCACCAACAACTCCTGGACACCCAAATGGTCTAATCATTAGACTTAAAGATTGCTTATATATGTAAGAATTGTGGATCAGAATGAGTCTAAATCTTTTTATATAAAACCTCATTTTTTGGGGCACCTGGGTGGCTCAGTTGTTAAGCGTCTGCCTTCGGCTCAAATCATGATCCCAGAGTCCTGGGATCAAGCCCCGCATAGAGGCTTCCTGCTCGGCAGGAAGCCTGCTTCTCCCTCTCCCTCTGCCCCTGCTTGTGTTACTTCTCTCTTTGTGTGTATCTCTGTCAAATAAATAAGATCTTAAAAAAAACAAACAAACAAACAAAAAAACCCTCATTTTTCAAGGGCCCTGGTTTTGACTTTTGAAAAAGAAAACCCAAAGATAAATTAAAAGCATTCGTTACTCTACTTGGTCAGTCCCAAATCACTCAGGAATCCTGTAAATAACCTTGAGTGTGGAACTGAATTAATTGGAAAAGCAAGAGATCTTACAAATGTTAAATGATTTGTGTAGCTCTTAAAGAAGAAAAGAGTCTTGACATTTTTACTTAAAATTCATTTATCAAATTATTTTCTAGCTATATTGGAAATACAGATGGTTAAAAGATTATCCCCTTCCTCAAGCAATGCAAGACAAGAAATAAAGTTGGGTTTTTTTTTTTTCTTTTTTCTGGTCTCAGACGGATTATATGTTTTAGCCAAGATCAGAAAGTAAAGCAGATGGAGTTAAGATTCAAATGCAAATTGCTCCCATTCCAAAGCCATGTTTTCCTGTCCTCCTACAGTGATTTCTCAGTATTATATTATTCATTCAAAAAGCGTTGTTCTTTTCTTCATCTGAGCCTAATGCTGTATTAATTTTTATAGTCACCCATCTTGTTTATGAAAGTTATCCACTGAGTACCACATGTATAGACCTGCTTATTAATTAATTAATTAATTAAATGAATAAATGAATGAATGAATGGAATTAATTAATTAGTTAATTAAAGTAAGCTCAATGCCCAAAGTGGGGCTTGAGCTTAGGACTCTGGGAACAAGAGTTGCATGCTCTACCAACTGAGCCAGCCAGACACCTTATTTTTTTTTTTTAAATACACATGTCCAAATAAATAGATTTTATATTCAGGCATTGAAATGCCTAAGCTAGTACCTAGAAACTTCTTGTGCCTTGTATTTCAGGTAACCAAGCAACCTTTTTCAAGTATTACTTTAGAAGTGTTATAGGCAAATACCCATATTTGTGTTAGAATCTCTAGCCTGCTTTTTTTCTCTTCCTACTCATAAAAAGAATTTACCAAGAATATAGTATTAGCTTATGTTTATCATTACCATAGTAGTAGAAGAGAAAGGAGAAGCTAATATAAAAACAGCAACAGACCACAAACAAATTGGGCTCTGAGCTTAGAAGTGGATCTATATGTCCCCTGCATTAGCAGTTCTCAAATGGGAGGGGATGATTGTGCCCCCCTGCCCTGTGTGACATTTGGCAGTGTCTGGAGACAGTTTTTTGTTTTTTTTTTTTTTTAAGATTTTATTTATTTATTTGACAGAGAGAGCACAGTGAGAGAGGGAACACAAGCAGGGAGGGAACAC